TGATCCGCCCGTTTTGGCCTCTCAAAGTGCTGGGATTACAGGCTTGAGCCACCACGCCCAGCCCAGAAAGATCTTAATATCCAACATCAGGGGAATGATTAAGAGACTATGCCAAACCCGCTCATGAGGCGAACATTTGACAGTGTGCATGGCAGTGTGAGAAGTGGTGTGGAATGGAACGTGTAAACCACACGTGCTCACGGAAAACTGAGAGGGCACTCAAAAGTCACAAGTGGTTCTATCTGAGTGATTTTTTTTCTTCATTTTTTGTAGAGATGAGATCTTGCTATGTTGCCCAGGCAGGTCTCGAACTCCTGGGTTCCAGCGATACTCCCACCTCAGCCTCCCAAAGTTTTGAGATTACAGATGTGAGCAATCACACCTGGCCCCCTTCTTTTTTTGGAAACAAATTGTTTTTAATGAACATATCTATCACTAAAATAAAAAACAGGTTTTGATTTTGCCAGGTTGCCAGCTGGGCCAAGGATGGCACAGATGGTGGGCTTTGACTCGGTGCCACCTCTTCCTGCCTTGCACTAGCGGAAAGTACTGGTCAGGGGAGAGAAGGGCCACGTCCCTCTGGAAGAGGACAGTAGGAGAAGGTCACAAAGCGAGGACACCACCCTTCTGAACAAGCTTACTTCTTCCCACTTAATCCTGACAGGGCTGTGTAGCCAGTCACATAAAAAGCTACAGCGTGCCTGAGGCCTGGCAGTGAGGAGCACGCCGGCTGCAGCCCTCCCGTGCTGGCCACGTGCCTCACCTGCTCTGGGGCTGAGCACGGAGCAGCTGATGAGACTCTGGTCCTTCAAGCGGAGCAGCTGCCGACAAGTCCTGTGCTCCCAGCGGGCCGGCCTGTCCTGCTGGCCTCCGCTTCCCGCTACGCCCTTCAGGCTCCATCTTTCTGCCAGGCCACCAGTCAGGTCCACCAGGGCATCCGCCACCTGCCCTGCCCACAAGTGCTCGTAGGACCCATGGACCCTAAGGGACACAATCACCACGGGAGTGAGCCCCTGGCATTGAGCGTGCCCTCCTCGCTGATTCCCATGGTCTGTAGCACCCCAAGCCGTCCAACCGCTGCCTCAATCCCACCTCTTTACGCCCCTCTGCCTTCGTCCTCATCCTTATCAAGTCAAGGCTTAGCCTCACCTTCAAACGTCTTACTTTGTAGCAAGCATGAGCGCCCTGTAGTCCTCTGCCCACATATAGAAACTCTCTGGCCTCCGGTGTGGGCACAGGGGCAGGGCAGGAGGGATGGAAGCTATGGATGCCCACATCCCTCGGCTCTCAAGCTCCAACCCTGCTTTTCCTAAACCAGCCCTTGGGATGGAAGGGCTCACTGGGCACTGATGTCACCGGCCAGCCTTCCCATGTTTGCCAGCTTCCCTGCCTGCCTGTTGGTCCAGTTGCCTTTGGCAAGATGATAAATGCATTCTAAGAGGGAAGGCTATTCAATTACGACTCATGGTGAGGGTCCTGGTCCCCTGAGCCAGCACCACGATACACAAGTGTTGGTATGCCGGGGTAGCCTCATTCCTTCCCAATGACTACACAGTGAGGCTGCCTATCCCAACCATTCCACAACAAATATAAAGAAGCATCTTTCTTGCTGGGGCCGAGAAACCAAGGAGGGCAGTGCACATGCTCTCTGTGGAGGACGACTCCACGCTGGGCTTTGGAACAAGGGAAGGGAAAGATGGGAGTGGGCAAACCACAGGCCCAAAAGAAGAATCTCTGCACCTGGCCAGTCAGCCTGACCCACAGAACGAGCTGCCAGACCCTCAGAACGGAAGGGGGCCCTGCAGCCCAGAGTGAGCAGAGACCCTCCCAGGACAGCCCATGGTAGTGGCAGCTCCCCGACTTGCCCCAGGTCAGGCCCTCAGCCCCCAGCACACGCACTTGGCGTAGACCTTTTCCAGTAAGGGGAGCCAGAACACATCCTCCCTCTGGCAGCGGGAGAAACAGAGTCTCCCTGCAAGGCATGGCAGGCGGTCATCTGTGGTCACCTCCACCCAGCGTCCAAACTGCCAAATGCGACAGGTGAAGGAGCCCTGGTACTCCTGGTCGGCCCAGCTTGGCTGTCCTGGAGGAATGACCTGCCATGCACAGGGAGAAGCAAAAGACGAGCGTAACATAAGCACCACCCGGCGCTGCTCCAGTGTCCTGGCTGTGGTGTGGCCACAGCTGAGCGCTCCACAGGCACCACTGTCTGCAGAGAACTCTACGCACACCTGGATGTCGGCGCTTTCACAGGGCTCGGTCACCACACACGAAATTAACACACCTCTCATTGCAAAACTTGAGGACTACAACGAGGGACGCACATATCCCAGGCCATGCTCTGCTGCCCTCACTAAAAGCATCTGACCTGAAGCCAAAACAAATATGACTTTCAAGGGTATGAGTGACCCAGTTCTTGACTGAGTTGACTGCAAGCAACATATCACCACAGGAACGGCAGCCCCCCCTGCTGCTGAGAGCCTGGCACCCCAACACTGGGCCAGCGGGATGCACCCACTGTGTCCACCGCAGGGCTCCTTCAGGAGTAAGCATTCTGACCCCCAGCATTGGGGGAGTGCAGGCTGGGCACTAGACGCCTGGTGCAGTCCTGGCTCTGCCACTTAATGGCCAGAAACACAATGGCAGTGGTTTTAGCACTCTCATTTAAAAACAAAAAAGGCCAAAGCTGGCAAGGCTGTGAGACTGAAAGCCAGTGACTGTGACATGCTTACCATGGGGCTTGGGACATGAGGGAAACTCTGAACGAGGTCACACTGTCAATGCCGCTGCATTAATCGGCAACGCTTAGCAACAAGCCAAGCATAAAACTATGAACACTTCCAGGGAAGGAAAACCTGAGAAGGCCTTCTCTGCCCAGAGTATCTGTCTACCCACAGAAACAGGTTTAATAACCTTTTGCAAACTTATATTCAAAACCTGTACGAAAACCAGTCAGTTAGCTGAGGAGAGATCTGGGGCAGAGTCCCCCAACCAGCCCTGTCCTCCTGTGAGCTGGCACATTTGTCTCTTTCTTCTAAACGTGGTGATCTGACTCCATGGAGAGCCCAAGGCTCACGAGAGCACACAGCAGGGTGAACCTCCCTAACGGAGCCCTCTGGCAAGGCCAAGGCACCCCCTCCTGCAGCAGAGGGACAGAGTGCAGTCCTCAGTCTCTGCCTTGGAATGTTCCTGCTTTCCCCCAACACAGCGAGAGATCCACCTGCGGCACGGCTCAGCTTTCGCAAGGGCTCCTGGTACTCAGCAGGCAGGAGAAACACAAAGAGAAACCGGCTCCAGGACAAACACAAGGAAGAAGGGGCCCCACACCTGGTCCAGGAGGTGCCTGCTCTTCTGCAGGGCGGCACAGGCACACAGGAACCAGCAATCCCCCAGCAGCCCCTGCTTCACCTGCCCTTCCTGCGGGTCATCTGGAAACAACCGGGGCATGGCACAAATCTCCTGAAATACAGAAAGTTGTCCAGAGTTAGATCATGCCTGCTGGGGAGTCCTTCAAACTAAGAACCCAAGGCTCTAGATGACAGGGGTTGGGGTGGAGCTTTTCCGATCATCAGTGTTACCCAAAAGCGGACAGGAAGGTGGTTTCCTGCAGTGGGTGTCCTTCAGCTCCTGGCTTCAAATCCCCCTGTCCAGCTTAATTCTGGGGTGCCTGTCTGTCTTCCTTCCTTATTGGAAAAATCCCAAACTCTACCAAGCTCCTTCTCAAAACAGCTAAATGTTGGTTTACAAAAGTTTCACTTTTCACTCATGCTGGTAAATCTCAAATGCATCCTCCATCCTGCTGGAAATCTTACTGTTTCTCTAGCAGGCTCCATTTACCATATCTCCTAACTATCATATACCTTCCCCTTTCTCCTCATCTACTCAAAACATCCACACTACCCTTGCCCACCCCTCTGAGCTTCGACCTTGCCTCCTGCTTCTGAACCTGACCCTCTCTCCTGCCCTCAGAGCCTGGGCTCCTCTCACAACTCCTTCCCTTCCAGCTCCCCAGGCAGAATCCCACTCCCATGTTGTTTAAGACATTATCCCTCCTTCATATTCTCTTTCAGGCTTCTCTTCATTACAACCTTCTTGAAAGAGTTGCCATGCCCACTGCTCGCTTCCCATTCACTCTCCACGCAGGCTCCTCTAGCTTCTGAGACAATCATGGTCCCTAAACTGCCTCGATCAATGTCGCTGTCACCTCTATGTTATCAAACCCATTGGGCTTCTCTTGGTCCCAACTCTCTTTCCCAACTACTCAGCAGTATTCAGAAGAGCAGAACGCCATCTGCTACCCCTGAGGCAGTTCCCACTCAGCTTCCGTGAGGCCGCATGCCCCCGAGTACCCTCTACCTCACTGCCTGCTGCTTCTCAAGTCTGTTTGTCAGGGCACCTGCCTGATCCCAAGAAATGTTAGGGTTCCTCAAGGCTCAGTCCCAAGGTCTCCTTCTTCTTTACTGATACTCCCCCGAGACACTCTCCCAGGCTATGGACCGTAAACCATCTAATATGGTCCGCCTCCCAGATGAATATCTCTAGCGCAGATCTCCCTGCTCTGTATCCACCTGCCTCCAGGACAGCTCCACCTGAACACGTGAGAGCAAAGTCCAACTCTAGGTCCCCCCCAGGCTCTGTCCCAGGACCACCATCCACCCACTGGCTCAGGCCAGAAACCTAGAAGACATGCCGATTCCTCCACTATCCTCACCCTCTATTTCAATCAGTCACTGAGGCCTTTCAATTCCCACTGCAAAGTACGTCTCAAACCAGTCTACTCAAATCCACAACCTAACGGTCGTCAGGCTAATCTGAGCCCCTTCATCTTTCTCCAGGACCACTGCAATGGTCCCTTGCATTCTTGCCCCGACAATCCACTTCCCACCCAGCAGCAAGAGTGAGTTCGTAAAAACACACATCCAAAAGAATCGCTCCTCTACTAAAACCCTCTAGTGGCCTCCAGCTGCACCTAAAATCAATCTTTTAACAAAATAAAACCCAAATTACAACGACAAGGTTCTACATGCTCTGACCCTTGCCTCCTCTCAGGCCCTTCAGTGTTGTCCAAGGAAACCAGGGGGCCTGTCAAAACCATCTCAGTCACCAGATCTCAGAAGTTCCAGCTCTGTTCGAAGACTGGTGGCCATTAGCTGTCTCCGCTAAGACTGTATCCTCTTAGGGCAAGGTTGCTCGCTGGGCAGTCTTATTCAGCAGATAAACCACTTCTAAAAATATGAACACGGCACTCGGCCAGGACATCCCTTGCAGCTGCCATTTTTAAGTGTTTACAACTGGAAAGGCAGGTGCGCAAAATCCAAAACTGAAATTCTATCACGCTTTGCTTTGTGGGCTCGACCCAGCCGCTTCAGAGGGGCATGAGCGGCCCTCTCTGCCGGGAGGAGCAGACACAAACGCTCTTCAAGGCGGAAGCAAACAGGTGGGCTGGGTTTGGGACTCGGTTAAAACGCGTCTCGCTGAGCTCCGAGCCTCCTTCTGGATTGGAGCTCTCGCAGGTGGTGGCCACGACCTAGTCTAGTGTCCTTGGGGTAGCGCGGCGTCCTGCTCGTTCTGGGCGGGGGTAGGAAGGAGGTAAGAAAGAGGCGGCCGGGCGGCCACTTCTGAGGAGAACAACAGCGGATCCTGCGTTCGGAGCTACCCTGGCCGCCCGCCCCGCCCCGCTCCCTGAGAGGAGCGGAGTTCTCGGAAACCAGAAACGGCGCCCACCGCACCCCGCAAGGTCCCACCTGGGGCCGCCTCCACGTGATGTCCTCGCGGAACTGGGCCAGCGGCGTAGACAAGTCGCAGAAGAGCGAGGAGTCCGCGGCGGGGAAGGCGGCGTCCCGGAACAGCTCCCTCGCCGGCGTCGCGCCCCGGCCCGCCCGCATCCTCGGCTCCGCGAGCTCCCATCTGCAGCCAGTAGCCTCGGGGTCGCAGCCCCGGAGAGAAGGCGAGTCCGCCGCCGCCGCCGCCGCCTCCGGCCCGTCCCGCCCGTTCCCCGCTCAGCCCAGCCCTCCAAACCCGAGGGCGGCGCAGGTGCTGGACCAGGCCAGGACGCCGGCCCGCTAGTCTCCCATTGGTAACCAGGCGACAGCCAACCGGGCGCGGGGTCTCGGGTCACGTGACAGGCCGGCCCAATGGCACTCGGGCGACGGAAAGCGGCACGGACATCGGAGGCCCAGGGGGCGGGGTTCCCGAGCTCTGCTCTTACGAGGCTGGGCAGCTGCCCGCGCTGTAGTTTTTCCTTCCGGGGGCGGCGGAGCCCAGGGCTGTCCCGGCCTCCGCTCATACCCGGAGGGCCGGCAGGCGTTTAGCCCTCCAGCAGGTGTGGCTCGGGCCGGGGTGTCAGGACCGCCTGAACACGCGGGCTCTGGGAGCTTCAGGGACCAGAGAGGCACCTCGGCCGAGTTGCGTCGCAGACTACAGCTCCCAGCATGCAGCGCCGTTCCCAGCATGCACCTCCCTTCCGAAACGCGTCTCTGTTTCCGGCGCTCTGCTGCGGAGGCGGTGGCCGCGGGTAGTTGGGAGGAACCGCGGTTTGCGCAAGGGAAGGCGGGTAGCGAGCGGTCCAACGCCGGTCGAGTGCCTGCCGCCGTGGACCTCAACCCCACTGGTGACAGCTGTTTGCTACCTAATAGGGCTTTTCGTCCCACCAGGCCCCAGGGCTCTGGTTAGGGGCCCAGCAGGCTCAACTTCTTGCTGTGGTTCTGGAAAAGGGAGTGACCACCTAGCCCAACACCTCTCTCTGTGATGTGTTTGGGAGTTTTGGGAAGTGAGACGGCTCCGAGGGAAGAGCTTGAGGGAGCGGCGTCGCATTGGTTGGACCTTCCCGGGCCTGGGCTTTGTCTCTAGGCATTTTAGGTCGAACGCTCTACATCTTAACTGGGGTCAGGGCAGGCGGCCAGAGCATCCCGCTGAGCTTTTTCCGATCCCCAGATGGCCAGGCACCTGGTCCTGGTTGCTGGACAGTGACCCTGTGGACGCACATTTACAACTATAGCCACGCAGTGCCGCGGGGAGGTGAGGATAGTGATCCTGGGACCTGCTCGAGGATTCACCCTTGCCGCAAGAACCTGTTCCATTCCCAGGAATGAAGGCGGCCAGGCAGGGGAGGAGAAGGGGGCCTCAACTCTTCTAGTGACGGCAGTTTGCCACCTAATAGAGCTTTTCGGATTTTGCCTCCTCAGGCCGTTTTACCCAGCCTCGGGCTACGAAGGATGGTCACATTGAAGCTGTTTTTCTGCTGTCAGGAGTGAAAAGTCCCTGCTGTTGAAGGAGAAACTGAATCGGGTTCGGGAGTCCCAGGTTCCTCCCTCTGAGAGGCCAGGTGGGGCCTGCGTGAGTAGCAGTTAAGGTTGTAGGACACTGCTGTTTTCATTCCACCTGGCCCCAGGCCCCTGATTAGGGGCGCAGAGTGCTTATCTCCTTGCCTTGGTCTGGAAAAGGGAGTGACCACATAGCCCAGCACCTATGGGATGCTTCCTTGCCTATTCAGCACCCGCTATGGTGCTGACTCTTGCAGAAGATGTTACTGATTCCTTGCTAGGCTGGTGGTTGCACCACAGCCGAGAGGACTCAAGAAGAGCCTGGTCTCTGCTTCACCTAGTGGTCCTGGAGGAGTAAGAAACATATCTTCCCTGTCCTGGGCACATGTGGGTGGGTAGCAGAGCTGAGGCTGGCCGAGGATCTCGACTTTCCTTTGGGAGCCTTTTGTTGTGCCACTCTCCCAGGCTGATCAGATCTGGAGAGCTAACAGCTTTCTGTGGCCACATCTGTGTCCAAGGCTGGGCCCATGCCGGTAGCCAGATTCCCAGGATCTGGAAGGGGCCAAGAGACAGCTGGTGCTGGGTAGGCAGTAGCCCTGTGTCAACCTGCCCCCACCATTACCCTATGCTGTGATTTGCATATGGTCTGCCCCTGCCCAAACTGGTATTGAAATTTGGTCCCCAATGTGGCAGTGTTGGGAGGTGGTGCCTAGTAGGAGGAGTTTGGGTAATAGGGGTGGATCCCTCATGGATAGGTTAGTACCCTGTGTGGAGGGGTGAGTTCCCATGAGAGCTGGTTAGAGAGTCAGGCTTCCTGGGCTTGTCTCTTGCTTCCTGTCTCGCCATATTGCCACATAATCTCTGTGTGTGCCCCCGCCCCCTTCCACTTGGTGCCATGAGTTGAAGTAGCATGAGGCCCTCACCAGGTGCCCCACCAGGTGCAGCGGCCCAATCTTAAAATTTCCACCAGAATTTTGAGCCAATTAAACCTGTTTTGCTTTTTTTAAAAAATAAATTACCCAACCTCAGGTATAGCAGCGTGAAACAGACTAAGACACTGCATATGCCCTGTGGTCCCGTCCACTACCCCAGGGTGCAGAGATGGTCCATCAGCCGTGAAGAACGACATTCCCCCCCCCCGGGATATCTGGAGGGGCTGTAAGCAGCTTGGGTTGGTGAGATAAGAAGGGGTTTGGGGGGCAGCTGGTTCGTGATCCTGGCGGCCTCCACTGCAGGCTCTTGGTCTGAAGTATTGTAAAGTACGAGAGCCTCGGGGCCCTCACTTCAAGGAGGGAACAGCATCCCCATGCCTCAGTATTTGAGGATTGTAGGAAGATGAGAGTCCTTCAGGTGGGACTGGTTCCCACCATGACCCCACGGCTGGCCAGTGGACTGAAATACATCTGACCACTTATTTCTCAGGTTCATGGGTGTTGAGGAGGAGCCCTATAGAATCAGCCCTGTCTGCCTCCTCTCATCCTGCCACTCCTCTTGTTCTGTCTGGATGACTGCCCTTGTTTTTCAAGGGAATGTTCCCTGTCTTCCTCAGCCAGGATCTTTTCTGAACTTGACATCTCCATTTGTTCAAGGGGCAGTAATTGGGTACTTCACTGTGCTGGTCATTGCGTTCTCATGGAGATGCAGAGATTAAAAATTAGTATCTTGTCCATATACTGCCTAGAGTTAGAAAGGATTGCTCTTCTGTGGATTTGTCTCAGGTCCGGTACAGTGGGGGTAGGGTGCTTCTCCCTTTTCCTAGCCTAAAGGTTCCAGCTGAATCTTCCCAGGCAGGGCTGAAACAGGAACCATTTTAGTCTTTGCTGCAACCCATGGTCAGTTCTCCAAGAAAAGTGAAGAGGGTTCCACCTGGGACAGTCCTCAAGGACTCAGGGCCAAAACACACGTACAACATGTTGAGACACTGCGTTTGTGTGATCACACATCTCAGCAGTAGGTATTTCTGCCTCATTTTACTGATGAGGAACCTGAGCTTCAAAGGGAAGAGGTGACAGCTCAGGACCACACAGCTGTAGGTAGGAGGCAGGAAAATAGGGTCTGGGTGCAGGGAACATAGGCCGATTCACACTTAGTTATGACAGGAAATGTCTTCTCCATGGGGCGTAGGACAATGACTTTGTAACTTCACCCTCTCCATCTACATAGTGCATACCCCAAGTAACCAATGGAATCATCTGGAGGGTATTTAAACTCCCAAAAATTCTATAACAGGGCTTTTGTGTGCCTATGCTCAGGCCCGCTCCCACACTGTGGAGTGTACTTTCATTTTCAATAAATCCCTTCATTCCTTCTGTGCTCTCTTTGTGTGTTTTGTCCAATTCTTTATTCAAAACGCCAAGAACCTGGACATCCTCCACTGTTAACAGTAAGACACATCAACTCCTTAGAGTTGGGGCAGCCAGCATAAAACCATGCTGACCTCAGCCCGCTTCATTCACTGCAACATGAGGAATGGATTCTTTGTTGGCAATATTTTAGATTGAGCTTTTTTTCTCATAAGTATAATACATGCTTAGTAAATTAAACAGAGTGGGAATAAATAAATAGGGTACATGCTCCTTACAGGAATTTTTTTCCGAACTATTGGTATGAAGTGGTTTTGTGTTCTTCAATTTTATTATGAGGATTATGCAGATAATTTCCACAGTTGACTGGTTATCTGAGGTGAGCATATTTCAGATGTGGGCTATTTTCTGCATTGTGGGTGTTGTGTTCCCTCCACACTGGAATTTTTCTGTTTGCTCATTCATTTGGAACAAGGAGAGGTTTATTTGGGCCTGGCTGGATGGGTGGGTAGGTGGGAGTGATCTTCTTAGCACTCTGCCTGTGCCTGTTAAAAGCCCCTTAGATCTGTGCTGGGCCAGGCCACTCCGTGGACACCCTTGCCAAGCTCTACCTTTAGCTGGCATGTCCCTGCTCTTGGGCTTCTGTCTGACCAGGTGATTATTCGGAGAGATTGGGGAGAGGGGGAGACTAACAGCTGACATCAGATTCCTCTTAGTAAAAGGACAGTCTTTGTTGGTGAAAACACCGTAGTGGGTGCTTGGGTTAGAGCCCTGAGGGCATGGCTACCTGAGGTGGCTTAGCTTGCAGGGTGCAAAGTTCTGATGGGAAGGGAAGAGAGATGTGGGGGAGAAAATGGCTAAAGAAATGGGGCTGAGTTGTGGGGTTGGGGGAGATGAAGGGCCATGGAGGGGACCCCTGGAGGGTAGAATGCAGGCCATGTTGAGAATGAGGATGCCTTGATTGATTGGAACTTTTTTTTTTTTTTTTTACTCTCCATGACCTAATATCCCCAAGTTCATTTTCTGTTGCTATAACAATACCACAGACTGGGTAATTTATAATGAAAATAAATTTATTTCTTATAGTTCTGGAGGCTGGAAGTCCAAGGTCGAGGGGCTGGCATCTGGTAAAGGCCTTCTTGCCACACCATTCCATGGGGGAAGATGAAAAAGCAAGACGACACACAAGCAAGAGACAGCTAAACTCATTTTTACAACACATGCTCATGATAATGAACCCACTCTGATAATGACATTAATCCATTCATGAAGGCAGAGACCTCATGGCCTAATCACTTAATGGTTCCACCTCTTAATACCATCACAATGGCAATTAAATTTCAACATGAATTTTGGAGGGAACATTCAAACCATAGCACTGTTCCACTGAGTTTTCATTTTTTAATAATTGCTTTTAAAAAAATTTCTGGGGTCTCTGGCTGGTTCTTTTTTATAAACTACCTGTTCTTGTTTCACAAGTTCCTCTTCCTATGTTATAGTTTATTTCAAAAGTCCCCTGTAGGTCTGAGATTTTGATTATATGTGTTCTAAAGTCCTTTTCTGATTTTTCTGTTGCCTCTGTCTCCTCAGGTTTGGGTTGAGTGGCCTGTTTTCCTTCACACTGTGTTGCTGTCCTGGGCAGGTGATTCTCAATTGTGCCTTACCTTTATACCTGAAGTTCCCTAGTGTTCTATGCAAAGCATCTGGCCTTAGGAGAGAAGCACCACCAATAAGTCCTAGTTAGAGTAGGGATGGCAGAGAAACACTCTGGGAGACAAGTCTGGACTGAATAGGTCATGGCCTGAGGGACTTAGAAAACGTTATTTGGACCTCCAGGGCCTAGGAATTTG